TTTTTTTTTTGAACAGTAGGTTATTCCTGGTAAGGCAGCTAGTCGATGGACCACTCCACTTGGAAATGATGTCCAGGGTAAACTGGCTGTGTGTTCCAACTTGAGGCCTTATTCTTTTGCAGGGTTCTTTCTCAATATCAAGGTTTTTGATAGGTTTGGTGCCTTTTTTTAGGGACAAGTATTGCTTCACTGATACTTCTACGGCCCCGCTTCCTTCAGGATCAGAGTGTGTAATCGGTCCAATGTATCTTTGTTCGAATGGTGAAGCCTTACGTTTTTGGATACTAGTGTAGCACATCTGCACAGCTGCAGGATATTAAGAACGGGTCCATTGTAGTACCAAGAACATCCCTCACGTATTAGGCGCACATATAATTGTATTTGACACCAAAACGCGATCAACGGGGTCTCTCGAGTCGACCACCTCTGTTCTCTAACAGAAGCTTCGTCATGGAAAATTATTCTTTACTCCAAGTGCTTTGTGGATCAAATGACACGCTTGCTAGATGCTGACGTGCTTGCTAGACCCTCCATCCAGCATTTTGACTTCAAGTTAAGGTTTAACTGATGAACGCAGTAGTAAGGGTGTAAGATTCGACAGTATTCTTATGTTGACTGTACTAAAAAAGGCCAATCTACAATTAAGACTGAGACTACATTATCCCCGAGAAGGAAGAATCAATTTGCATTATATCTTTCAATACCGCTTCACCCGCCGAAAGGCGACTCTCTGAGCGATAGATAATATCAATTAATTCGTCCCACGTAATATGCCATAATCTTCGATCTTCTTTTACTGATACTTCATCGAGGCGATGGTTATGGACCCTTCTCTCAGCCTCAATATGGAAATGATGTTGCGCGCTTCCTTTCTTCATTACCATCTGGTCCACCACTCAAGATGCACCCGCGCCCACTACGATTCGGCAAAAAAGTCGCCTGCTTTTTACGTGGTAGTTAGCGTTCATTTTGAATTTTGCCTTATTTTCTATAGACACCACAGAAATGAAGCGCTCACGTTTTGATATTGGACTGCGACTATAGCGACTGATATCGGATTTAAGAGAGTACGTGGACGTTTGGAGGTAGTAAACTGAAGACCTAACATCCCTTGCAAGCCTTTATCATTGTTGACATCACGCACTAAAGTGACAAGTTCAGCTTTTCTCATGAAATTTGGGCTGGGCCAAATTTGTTGTGTCCGCGCGACTCCGAGTGTCCCTGTCAGAAGTTTTGCGATCATAAATGGTTTTATTTGATCCTTACATAGAGTGACTGGTCAGCCGAGCATTGCGTGTTGTGTCCGCGCGACTCCGAGTGTCCCTGTCAGAAGTTTTGCGATCATAAATGGTTTTCTTTGATCCTTACATAGGAGTGACTGGTCAGCCGAGCATTGCGACTTTATTACAAGAATTCGGAAAGTCCATTGTAGGCCGGGTGCATATAATATAACAGAGAAAAAAAACTGAAATACAAAAACTGAAATAGAAACTGAAATACAATGTCGACTCATCATAATGACAGTGACGCTCATTTTTCAGTTGGAGCTTGACTGGTCTCATCTCGATGCAGTCGCTGAGAATGTTGTGGCTGCGCAAGAAGCGGCGAGGGTTGTTACCGAAACAACACCGCTTGTTGATCCGACCGAAAACGTCACAACCGTGGGAGATTCTACGACAGATTCCGCTGATGGGTGAGTATTCATTGGAGTTTTGTTTTTTGAACAGTGAAATTTATTCTTCGACAGTTGCTCAGGGGAAGTTACATAGGCAAGAGATGATTTATGGCGCATTACTTGCCCTGATCTAAATTCTACCGGTGCATTGACCGCTCACATTGATTTAACATTCAGGAGTTGAACATGTACATTTCAATAAAATTTGAAGCGAGCTTGCACCTCTTACACTTACCCCTCAAACTTAAATATAATGACCTGTCTCGTTGCCCTTTTGACATAAACTGCTGCTGAGCTTATCTTTTTTCCTTGTTTTCTGGCGTTCGTTCTCGCTAGTGAAAAACAATGCCCACAGTTAGTGATGGGGGTAAACTTGTCCGCTTATAAAAATCTGTTTCCCTCAGATTGGACAGGTACAGGTATTTTTTAGAGTCTTAATACGCTAGTGAGGGAGAGGTTCGCAATGTGGGCAGTACTCACATTGTGGATTGAATGTCTAATGCACTGACGAAAGATACTGTTGCGAGCTTGCTTCCTTTACTCTTGCGACTTTTTAGTGATTTAGCTATTTAAGTGAACTATTTTCATTGTGCACATACATATTTACTCATTTACATTGATTCGATTTTGTCTTGAGTTTTACCCACTAATTTGTGCACGTTGCATATATTTTTTATTTTTCAGGACGAATTCGACTCCTGGAAATGGCAATCATCCCATTGACCCCAGCGGATAATTTCGCATTACATAACTGTTACTTGGCTTCTTTGAGTTTGTCCTTCGTTATGTTTTTGACATTTGCATTTTTCTACAATCTGCAATTGAACCAGGTTATTGAAATCGGCTAGCAGAAGAAATTCAGGTAATAACGATCATTAACGGGCTGTATGTGTGTATGTAAGTACGTGTGTGCATGTGTGTGGGTGTGTGCGTTTGTGTAGTGTAGGGTCTAAAAAACTTATGCAATGAGTACATTTTGTTATACCTCCCACATTGTACGGCTGTGTGTTTGTGTTGTTATTTTATGAGGCTTTTCCAGTTGTGGTGGTTTAAACCGTTTATTTGTTACTACTATCGATTATATTACTTCTATTATATGAAAACACCTCGAAAATTGTAAAGCGTCGTTATACCATGTATACCGTCTCAATATATTGACCTCTCTGCTGTTCCGTTTATTGTACAATTATCCTTTACATCTCTTCCTCTCCTTCTCCAATCTCTCAGTCGCTCATTTGCTGTGTGTAGGTTCTGGTGTACTGAGTGCGCGGTGCGTAGAGCTATGTCCTACTCGGGTGATTTGAGATCACGCAACACGCTGCTTACGGGACAGTGTATTTATACGCTTGTTTTCACTTGTTCGACAATTTTAATTCGTACCTCTATTATCAACTAGCATATTTTTTTCTGTGTTGATGTTAAATCTCTTATGTTTCCATACTCTCATCCTCCATTTAAAGTTGTACGGCATTTCGTCAATTATCGTTGTATAGGTATCACTTTGTTGATATGGGATTTTTAGCCGCCCTTAGATTCGGGCTTTGGACGAGGCCAGGTAAAGCAGACTAAATGTGTCGTAGAAATGTTTGTCTGCTCCAGAAATGGGCTTAAGCTATGCATACTATGCGCAGCTACGTTGCACCAACTTTGCTTGAATTAAACTTCAATGAAATTTCCTTCAAAACATTCGTAACCATCAACACAGACAAGTATTGTTATCAGTGGTAATTCAATGACAATAGGGAGTTTCAAAGAAGAAATGTAAATACCACCATAGAAACCGGTGATGGCAAATAGCGCTTGGTTGTATTTGCGAAGGTTTTGTCAGATAGAAGACTCAACTACTTTGAAATCGTTGCACAAGCCGCATAAGCCCATGTTCATGCCCCTGCGCATGAGTTTTAACGCGTAGCGTTTCAGTGTATTTTGAAAGTGTTTGCGTGGTCACATGATGATCCATATCCGCTTTCGACACATCCTTCCACAGAACTTGGTCCTTATTTGGCTTTTGTTGAGCTCTCGCCTATTCTCGAGTGCCAGGCCTGTCCGACGAATCTGGGGGCGTTAGCAGCGTTGTTGTACGGGCGAAATCTGTTGGAATTCACACACAATAGCATACGCTTCGACTGTTTGTAACATGAGCTCCCATCGTGATGTTGATTAACCATCACACTGTCCCGCATAAACATTTTTCGAAGTTGTTTATGTGTTTGTTGTTGGTAACCGATTCACATAAATATCTTATAGCTGTATCTGAGCTGGAATTTTTAACTAAAACTTGAAAAAAGAGCTTAAGGAGGCGGCGCCATGGCGTCCATAAGAGACACAGTCGTCGAGGCGCTCAGTTCGGTTAGTTTCTCATTGTTTTTGTCATGAACAGATTTGCATACTAACAGGTTGGCAAAAAAGTACTTTAACAAGAAATCCGAAGCCGTAAAAGATTCTATAAACATTGTGGACACGGTAGAAAGTGCGATTTAGCGTTAGGACCATTGCTGATTGATTGTTTCCCTGGGTATCAACGCATAAACAATGGCATGCATGTAGGCTTTTGCAAAACTTCACCATAAAGGATTGGACCACGCCAGATTCGTATCATCATCATGTACTAGGTACGACAAGGGAAAGACGGAAGTGTAGCGCTAAAATTGTTAGCGTCCTATTCGTTGAAAGCACTGTTCACCGAACGACAGTCAACAATTGGACGAACCGCTTCACTGCATGAGATAGTAGCCTTCGAAATACTGCAGCATCGTCTGTTTTGTGGAAATTCAAGGGACCCATTCACTATGAGTTACTAAATGCTGACTGGATAGTCACAACTGTCGTTTACCCCTATGAACTTAGGCATTTGACCCACGCAGGCAGAAAACCACCGAGTAGTAACACATCCAAAACCATCACTCGGTTGCCTCCAGAACGTCAATGGTTTTTTGAGTCACAATGCCTTGACTGCTGATCAAAAGGCATCAGTGATTTGCTCAAAAGACAAAAGAAGGCTGTCGATGTCCCTGGGTAATAAATTTCTAGCATTTGACTAATTTAGAAAATTCTACAGATGAACTCAAGATGAATGAATTTCTTCCTGTAGAAGAATTTTCTTGTCAACCTAATGTTGATGACAATTTAACGTATTTTTCTTGAACCAGCTTCAAGGGACCCATTCACTATGAGTTACTAAATGCTGACTGGATAGTCACAGCTGTCGTTTACCCCTAGGAACTTAGGCATTTGACCCACGCAGGTAGAAAACCACCGAGTAGCAACAAGTCCAAAACCATCACGCGGTTGCCTCCAGAAACTCAATGGTTTGACTTCTGGACAAAAAGCACGTGATTTGCTCAAAAGATAAAAGAAGGCTGTCGATGTCCCTGGGTAATAAACTTCTAGCATTTGACTAGTTTAGAAAATTCTACAGATGAACTCAAGATGAATGAATTTCTTCCTGTAGAAGAATTTTCTTGTCAACCTAATGTTGATGACAATTTAACGTATTTTTCTTGAACCAGCTTAGCTGTAATACTTGCAGTGCAGTAACTAGTGCCGATAGTATCATGATATTGGCAAGTAGCGGTTAACTTCAAGGATAACTGTGAGCTAGCTGAGCGTGACCTTACTATCGGGTTTTTTGAGGCTGTCAAATTAAAGCAAGTCGTTTGCTGTTTGGTTTCTGGTTCAAATCCTTAGGAGAGGCTATCATAGCTCTACGTTGATAGCAGTGTTGAGAGTTCGATCTAGACGTGAATTCCAACAGCCATTGCTTGTCGGGTTCTCCAAACGTCCTATTCTAGCAAATGTTTCGGGGTGGCGCATAGCCTTTTTGGCATTCTTTCATTCAAGAAGACTATAAAGACTGTGGTTTTTCGATTACACGTTCCCAAGTAACTTTTAAGGTATCTGTGGTAGCATATAGGTTCATGCGACTACTTCCTAAGGCGCATGACAAAAGTTGGTTTCAGGCAAGTTCGGGGATAAATTGGCGCACCAGAAGGGTATTAATCACACTTCTTTAAGCTAGGCAACTTTCTATGAACTATAGGTACGCAGTCGTGATGCAGCAGCGCTTTCTTGTGGTTTCATGATTTACCTCGGTAGCTTGCTGGACGGTTTCTTTTCTTTCGCTTTGTCCCATTTCTTTTCTGACGAGATTTTTCTTGAATTTCATTCTTCAACGCTACGTGATAACAAACATCATCTGTTCAAGAAGTCCCCGGATGAGATCCGAAATATATGCTTAATCGCTCATGTGGACCACGGCAAGACATGCTTTGCTGACTCTCTCGTTTCTACCAATGCCATCGTTTCTGGTGAGTTGGTCAAGCAAACCAAGTTGTTATGAAGTTGTTCTAGTTTTACCTACTCTCAGCTCGAATGGCTGGAAAATTACGATTTCTTGACAATCGCGAGGATGAGCAAACTCGGGGAATAACAATGAAAGCAAGTGGAATCTCACTAGTTTACGGACCGATGCTGGTGAATCTAATGGATAGTCCTGGTTTGTGGTATATTTTGAACTATGTTACTGGTATTTTCTCAACCCTAATCCTGAGCAGGTCACGTCGATTTTGCGTCGGAAGTGACATCAGCCTTG